TCGATACTTTGATGCACGAACCCGACACCTAAGGTATTGGGAAGAGCTAGAGCTTTGTCCCAGAGCCCTCTTCCTGGCCACTTGTTGTGCATTTGCTCTGTTCCTCAAAGCATTCCATCGCTCGGTGGTAAACCGCTTTAACCCTCGTAGCTTGCAGTGTCAAAGTTATGTATGAAAAAAGCATAGCCTCTGGACTCTCGGTCATTTTAAGTTTAGCCTCATTGTTGCGGCGCTCCATTCCTCGCCAAACACAACACTCCTGTACCAAAAGTTCAGCCCTCAAGGGAGTGCATGGCTCAGTTGCCTAGCCCAGTCGGTTGCACGGGACTGAACAGCTCCGATGGCAAGGGAAACAAGGCACAGATGTCTCACTCATGGTGTCAATCCGCATACCAGATGCATTTGGGGTAATCAGGCTCGCACTGAATAGTTCACCAGCAGTCACGGACCAAAACTGCATGAACGGTGTGCGCCTGAGTATAACTTTCGAGCTCTCAACAATAATGTGATTCCTGCGTATGGTTGTAAATGGTTCATTCGCAGCATCTGTTTGCACCGTCCAGCTACATGGATGATCACCGTTGCGGCTGTGTCCGAGATAATTACCGCTCAAATTTCGCAGAATATTCACGGACTTCTGGAGCACATACTGCTGCCCAACCATGCTGAAAAGCACTAACAGAATCGAACCCACTCTTGAAGTCAAGTAACACCAAGATTGTAGAGCGCCCATAAACATGTCCCTGCTCCAACACTTGGAGTGTTAAGCTATGGTTCAAACGGCCCATTTCCTGATGAAATCCCGCTTACTGCTGTCGGTTACCGTCCTCACGCGCCTTCATAAGACAACGTATGCGATGCAGTCTGGTTACAGCAGGGATTAGCTAATTCTTATGTTGTCGTCACACTCACTCCGAGTACCCTTTCTGAAGACGGGCAACATTACCGACTCACACAAGTTGGTTGGAATATTCTCTTTCGCACCGATAAGGGTAAATAGGGTGGGCAAGTGCTGGCTGAGGACTTCACCTCTATATTTAAACAGACTAGGTAGGAGATACGTGAACAGGACCTCCAGTAAGAGCCAACATCACACTGTCCAAAGAGGATTTAAATAGATAGTCTTCTCAGTGGCCAGGCCAAGTGTGCGCACCTTGCGAAAACTGAAAAGCTCTATGAGGCTGCAACGAACAAAAGCGTGGTCAGCATCTACAGAGTCCGGAACGAGCGACAACCAGTAATCGACACACGCCAACTAAAGCACACAGACACTCGGAATGCGTTGGAGTTTAGCCTGCATACGTTAGATACCTGGTAATCAAGCGGATTCAATCGCTTCGAGAGTCAGTACTGCGTAGTCCGCGGTCAGCATGCAGGTGCAGCAGGTGTTCGCCGTTGTTCGATTCAAGTCCAAGACGATCACCCAATTGGGCTTTTGCAGTGCTAATTCTACCTACTTGTACATTTATACCCCTGACAACAACGACAATATCTGGGTTCTTAGCCCACCGTAACGAAGCGTCGTAAAAACTGTCCTTGAGTATCAAAGCCAGCCTGTTGAGGCGTAAGCAGATATGATGAACAGGCGCTTGTGGGATACCCCCACAGACGTTGCTGACCGAAGCGCACAGGGGCAACCGTCGACGGGCCAACCAGTTCGGTCGCCCAAAACAATGCTGACCCCAGAAGAATTAGCCGCAGAGGCTTCCGCATCAGTAGAGGTGGACAACCAGAAGCGAGAGGAATCCGAACGGGAGGTCAGTCTAACAGGCACACTTGGGTCTTGAATCCTGGTTTCAGGAGTACAGCACACATCAATAGAAAGCGTGTACAGCGCAAAAGGGCCAGCAGTCGTCCAGCTTGTTTCCAAGTTCCGTTATGTGAACTGAGTGGCGGGTTCGAATAATAATTTGCCCGTAGATACTGCAGCTAACGACAGTAGTTATGCTTCCAACAGCCTTCCTAGCTTCCTAGCCAAAATAAAGGTTTCGTGTGAGTTGACATCTGACTAACCGACTGACCACGTTATGCTCTGATACAGTACCGCACACCAAGAAGTGACAAGAACAGTTCACAATTCTGGTAGTTTCCGTATACACATTCGGCAGCAGCACGAGCAGAATAACTGGCGTCATGCGTAGTTGTGACCATATTGCCTCAGCAACGACGAAAGTCCTCCAGGGCCACTCGTAGTGCATTACGTAGTAAGCTCCAGTGAGTTTCAAATAAATCATGGTTGTACGGCAGCGAAGTATCAGTGTTGAACATAATTGTCATGTTGTCCACGATGACGACGATTATGATTTCTTTGATTTGTAGATCACGGCTTTTCCGTCAGCAAATATCGAAATTTCGCCTAGATTTACTGCACGAGAGCAGGACCTGAGTCAATGTGCGTGTTCCACAGTGTCCGGTAATCCAAAAGTGGAACTGGCAATGAGATCAATCTCGCTCCATTGCTGCACATTTGGAAGCGCCAGTTAGCTCAACTGCGCTTGCTGCGTCTCCGCCCAGTAACAATAATAATAATAATAATAATAATAATAATAATAATAATAATAATCGCTCAGCTGTAGCAACCCTTGACAACACAGTCGCTGTGCAACTTGAAGTACGAGGGTTGAGATACTACCAGGTTGCCCTAGCCTGAAGGAGCAGCCAAGATTCTGCGGTCACGTTCGAATTGGAAACTTCCCTGTTGGTAGCTTCGTACCTTAACCGCCGAGCTATCTCGGGCTATGGAAGTAACTGTTCAACCAGAGAAACAGCTGACGGTTGACGAGAAGTGGCAGAAGGCCCTCCCCGTTAACATCGGTCGTGTCCACCAAGACGTGCGTCCGACAAACTTAGGCGTCCGACCTGTGCTATTAAGTCTGTTTGGACCTCTTGCAGTGAACATGAGAGTGAGCAGATTTTCACATAAACCGCCTTCAGACAAACGGAGTCTATAATCGGGTCGTACATGAGTATATACTCAGAAAAAAAATATTACACTCTGGACTAGTGTGCCTTTATAGAGGTATGCATTCGTACAAATTCGGAGGTATATGAGTATCTATCTAATCGAACAAAGCCTACGTTCGCGAATTGAGGCCTATGCTAGTACGTTTGCAACCCACTGAAAGAGCTGTAAGTAGCAGCTTCAAGACAGTGATGCCAAAGGTCCACTTGCTTTACTTGAATCCCGCACTCCTGCTACAGTAATGTAGCAAACATTTATCGACAAAGTAGCTAAAGGACGTGCAAAGGTAGTTCCCTTATCAATTTGCCTAAGAATTCGCAAGTTGGCGGTTATGATAAGTGATGATGATGATTCTTCGGTTGTAATACCTTTTAGCGCATAGCTGTCCTGCACATCGAAGGATACATGAAGGCTGAGCTATCTTAGACAGAATAAACTGAGAGCTAAAGGTTGGAGTTGAATATAGATCACTAATATCACGAGGGCAAGATAGCTCAGCGGTTAGAGCTCGAATTTACGGACCGGAAGGAACCCGACCTCCGCATCTCGACTTTTGTCCAGACTTGGACAACGTGGCGGTATCCCAGCCCTCGTGCCTCCTTCGGGTTGCATGGCAGCTAGACACCTAAAGGATGTTACAACTGAATGATTGCTATTATCATGAATTTCACGCACTATTTATACTCACATACTTGAGCGCGCGAGTGTATAGGAAGATCTCCAAAAAGCTTCCCCGCAAGTAGTGGTGTCCGTAAGGGGTATCCACTCTAATTTCGTCACTGACGAAGACGTGAGGAAAGCACTAAGTATCCTGCTGCTAAGGCCTCTCCTCTTTCGCAGAGATTCTGGAACAGGCAGAAGACATTGTCCTCATTTCTGAGGAACCGGAAGCACAAACAATACTTGAAAAGCTAACCGGTCATCCAGTCCTTCGGTACGTGCCTCGGGCCCACAAATTGTGAAGTCGTGCGGCGAGACGTAGTCTTTGAATTCAAAGAGTGACCTCAGAAGTTTTGGAACGCATTATTTATCTCGGGAGTTTTATTATCCCTGACGATGGTGAGAGTTGAAGTCAACGGACGAGTCTCAAAATTTTGAGATGCTTTTATCAATTCGCACCACTTGTGGTAGTTATGTATACACATGTGGGCCTCAGAGGACTGTATAAAAAAGACGTATACATCAGACTGCAGTGCGGGCCGCATTGATATACGCATGCGAGACATGGCCACTTCGATCAAAGAACATATCTTTGACAACCGATGCCCCGAAACTATAGCTAAAGTCGGCTGGAGCCGACGGATTTGGAGTGGGGTGATCAGTGTACGGGGTTATGGTGGAACATATAATACTCATTCAAAGAATGCCTCCAGTGCTGCCATGAGATATTCATGACAAGCTACTGCCTACAGGGAGAATCGCTGTCTTCCGTGTCTTATTCGAAGTGGACCTCAGTTTACATAGCTGTTTGGAAGCGCCCAAACTGTTCGAACCTTCTGTTTCCTAGATATAGCAAAGAGGATATGGTGGAAATCCAACCTGGGTCTAAGAAATATGTGGACTCAAGGCGCTGCAACTGCTGTGAACACTTGCACCACCGGTGTTTGAGCACTATCAGAAGGGAAGGGAGTAGTGTGGCAATAATTCGGAAACTGGTGTAATGCCCTTCTCAGGGGCTGGTTACCGGGACAAATATCCAACAACCGACAGCATTGGTCATGGTCATAAAGTCCAGTGTTTCTACCCTACCCCGTCAACTTCTCGTGTAATTCCCGTTGACCTCTTGCACTCTCAGCATTGCCTTCTATGATGTAGATACCAACCGACCGTTGCAAATTCATCCACTGTCCGTTGGAGGATCTCTTCGACATCATCCTCCGATAGTATAATAAATTTCTCCATGCTAAAAAAACTATCGCGTGGCTTATTTTGGGGAAAATGGCTTCAGGGGAAATAAATTATATGTCAATTACAAAGGTGATCGTCTTCTGTGACAAACCGCTACGTCTTATTATCTGAAAAGCGCTTACATACTCACGCACAAGCAAAACGCCTCAGCAAGTTGAGCCACCCGCGCCTGAGATTGGTTACTTCAAACAAGAGGTCCAGGACGGCCGTTGAAGTTCTGTTGTTGTGTACGCGTGTTCAAAGTCAATGAAATGTACACTCGGACTCCACTTGACCTCGTACAGCTAGGCGAAAAATATATAGCAGCTGTGGCTCCCTCTGTTGTGCTGAGAACAGGGGATCACCACAAATTCTTGGGATGGTGGAATGAATCAAGCTGTTCGTCCACATTTCCTGATCGGTTCCACCCTTGGCATTTAACGGGTTTCGGTCGGCCTGAAAGACTCGACAAAGCTGAAGTTATCCTTTTCCGAATGCAGCGTTCGAAATTGTGTGAGCCGGCGTAGGGAGCGACCTGAAACAGCATCCAAATTAGTTTAGCTGGCTACTATATCTGGTAAAACAACCGGTGATTTCAGTTAAGTCTAGGCGCCAGGTCCTCAAAATATGATAGATGATGTATGAGTTAGCCTGATGCCTTAACCCCTAGGAAGGTTTCCCTATTTTGCAGTCGCCAATCAATACATCGAATGAATCCACTGGATTTGGAAGGATGCCCACTCAGGTCTATAGACAGGTATATAGAACCGTGGTTTCCAGGCCAGGTCTGCTCGGACCATTCAACCTCTTACATTCTCTGAAAAGCTGAAGAAAAATGAGGCCTAGCGCCACTTCTTGAGCTGAATAGTAGGTTCGTCATCACGAGGATCCGCGCAAAGCATCCAAAAGTGATTTGAAATGGGTCCTGGACGCATTGTGGTCAAATGTTGGATAAAAGGTGAAAGTTAGCGTCAGTCTTCCTCTGATGCAATGGTTTCAGGATCTCCAAACGTTTTTCATAAGCAAAAGACTTAAGGCCGCTGACCATCCTTGCGGCGGCTCGGTGGACACATGATTAGAGCTGCGTCGTTTTGCCTCTCCGTGCAGAAGAACCGGCTGGAGTTTTCGAAAGGCGGACTGATCCGGGCCTCGAAGTGTCTGTAAGTCCAAGCGGGTAATATGCAGACTTTTATCCGAGCCATTTTTTAAATAGAGTATATTTTGAGCCGCCTCAGGGCAGCCAGAGTCATTTTCGGTATCCTGTTACATAATATCCTCCGCTTCGTCCCTACCATTGACGTTATAAGCGCCTGATGGGCTCACTCCAAACAAAATTCAAAAAAATTTCCATCATTCAAAGGAGATGCTGCCAAGCTGACCATTGCTTGGTGGCGTTGACACCTGTTGAAAGCGCGATGGCGCCAAAAATACAAGGTTTTAGGTCGTCCACAAAAAGTAGACGTGTACTTGAGAGTGCATCCAGAACGGGGAGTGATACTGGGGAGGTGCTTTCAGGCATTCAATGCGGGGTGGTGAAGCAGAGAAGCCGGTGTGCCTTGCTTTCAACCAGAAAGTACGACTTAAAAGGCAAGCCTTAATAACGTAAGAGTTTTCCCCGAATCTCATGAGGCCTAATTTAAAAAGACGGTAAACTAGGTCGAATGCTTCTAGAGAATCAGAATACAGTGTTTGAAATGGGTCAGTTGTTCCTGGTTACCGATGAATACCAGCGTTTTTACCACGCGGGGGAGATTTGAAATATTCTCCTGTTACATTTCGACAACCGGTTATATTCTGTGTTTCGTCTCCAACGTCATTAATTCACGATCAGCCTTCTCACTGGAGGCTAATTTGGTCAAAGGTTGTTCGTGGTCCCGTCTCGCCAGCGTTGGATCGAGATGTGGCTCGGGCGGACTACCAGCCTGCATGGTGATCACCGTAAGTTCCACACATTATTCGTGGATTCTGCTTGTCGTCGCTCAAGGAGTCGCTGTTGTGTACACGGGTATAATAGCTCCTTGGAAGGGTAAGGTGATGGCAACGCACGAGTTGTGACACAAAATGTATAAAAAGTTATTGAATTTTTGCGGGAAGTAAAGGCACATAGAAATGGTTAAATTCAAACGAAAGGTTCAGAAGATTGGAACGAACATATCATGGAGGAAGCTGGGGTCACGTGGGGATCTTGCTCTTATTGCACTTATTGAAACGAGTGGGCGAGAAGGTACGGTCAACAGAAGGAAGAGAATAGTTGTAGATGTGCTATCAAACTGGGTTTGTCAGTGCCGTGCCATCGTTGGCCTGATATACGTCAACTTTCGGGCAACCACGTAACGGACGTCAAGTTCAAGGTCATTGGGCTGGAGCGTGTTATTCTTTGAGCAGCGGGAAACAAGGTAGAACGAAGCCGATGTAAGATAGCATGTTTTTGGACCACTAGATGATTCTGTGGTTGTAGATCATAGGTCGGGTGGAGTGGATGACAGCTAACCAGGCGGTCCATATCTGATATTGCCGAAGTTCAAAGCTTGGCAAGTTAAGGGATTGGAATGAGGTTAGTAAAGCATGATGATTTTCAGTAAGCATCAGATGGCGTAATGTGCATTCATATACATAGAAAGAAAAACTTGACGTGTTCCGCGATTAGGGTGATGGCAACAAACTATTACATGAGATAAGTTAGGAACTGGTTTGTACTTGGCAGGCTGGCGACCAAGGGTTGGGTTTGCTAACATACAATATTAAAGTACAAGTGATATAGTGCAAACCGATAGAAACAGACAGGGTGATGGTGTGGTTCGGAAAATCAAATGTATCATGGCTGATGGGGGCAAACTTCCGGGATGATCTGGTATCTATTACATGAGTTGTGCGGTACCAGGATAAAAAGAAAGTGCAAGAGAAATGATAATCAGTCCCTGAAGTACCGCTATCAGCTTCAAGTTGACAAGTGGCGCATGGCGAATAAAAAGCATTTGGGCACAAGCCTTATATGCTGATAGCGGAGTGTTAGGGACCTCTGTATACCTGTATTTCCCATTGTATATGTTCACTCCTGAGAGCAGTAGGTAAGTGCGTGTGTTTTGTTTGGCTGAAAAAGTGGGTTTTTATGTGGTACAACCCCAATTATGACAAGACCTCCGCACGTCGACGTAAGCCACAAGCATCTTAGAGTCTTCAGGCTATTCTAGCTGTTTTTCTACCAATTTCTTTTCTTCAACAGACGAGATGCCAGGTTTTCTCTCTTTTTTCATCTTCTGTAGCTAATAGCTTTGCCGGTTAAATGACACGACCGGGACGGGTTTGGCCCGGAAGCATGAGACAGAAACCAACGGTGCTCTTCTATTTAATTCCTGAATTAAATGTCATGCACAGAACCACCGGCGATGGACGATACACCCGTGCCACTAGATGGGTGACGGGTATAAGAGCGCACCATGGTGCAAGGCAACAAGGCGACCCTCTCTTTAGGGCGTACCCGCCAACCAGAAGAAGTTTTCATCCTTCGTGCTTGCTACCAGATCTGCAAAGTGGAAAACCATCCAATCAGTCATAAATGCGGTTTGTGTATTGATAAAATGTTCCAGCTATCATATATTTCATCCGGTTGGTGGAAAGCCAGACCAGTAAAACAGATCAGTCATTTCGAACAATCAAACGATAAACAGCCACTGAAAAAGGAAGGTCACGGGGACGAACGTGGAGGAGCTACGACTGGAACGATGGTGACAAAACGGAGACGGCCAGAGCGTGTCAACCATGGCTACGCAATCATGGTGCGTGGGCTATCAAGCCAAACATTGGCGAGCCGCAATGTTGTGTGCGTATGCTGGATGGGTTGCTAGGGGAATGATACGTTCTCAGGTAGGAGGAATTCTGACTTTTGCTGGTTGTATGTTGGTTAGGGTTAGGCAAGACGAAGCACCACTGATTGAAAAGAGCGGAAAGGGTAGTCCAGGGCATGGACCTAGCTGGGAGGAACATGGTACAGGTTGCTTTAAGCAAGTCAAAGATAGTAAAGTATGGTAAGGGGGTGGCTCATATTTTTAATTACTATTTTCACTACTTTTTCGCCCACTAGCTATATCTACGTACTACTCAGAGGTGGTCTAACCTCGTTCATAAAGAAGCTCGGGGGTAGTTGAGTCTGCCGGACCACACGTAAGGAAGTTTTTAGAGGCTGTGAAAACGTATGTTGCTGTGTGACATTTCGAAACCGATCGGAAAATCTGTTCCAGATGCAGTGTAGTAAACCAGGAAGAAGTAGCTGTATGGGTTTATACGCGCTTGAGGACACACTAAAAGGTAGCTAAACTTACGGAATTTATATCGCGTATGTGAACTTGCGCTTGGCATAGCCTCTGTTATAAAGGCCTTTTGGCCCAACAGACGGTGTAAGAGAGTTACGCTCAGCTTCAACCGTCTGAGCCATAGTCGCTCAAGGCCTGCGGTTATATAGCGAGATCCGTAGGAAAGAGGGCTGGTCTGTGGAAAATAACTTTCGAGTGGGTGAACGTTGGATGTCCTTGATTGCCAACCTACAACTTTGGGTGTAAAGGAAAGAGAAAGTAGGATAGAACTCCACGATTGGTAGCATGCATATCTTGCAACTTACCTTTTTTGAGCCCGGTCATTTACTCAATCGCCGAAGGTCACTGATGGCCAGCAGTGGTTTTCATTTTTATTTCTTGTCAGCTGGCTTCATCTATGAACTGGTTGTACCTCGTGCTCCTTGCTCCAATCCTTTCGGTTCCAACAATAACGGTGACTTTTCACTTAATACGCATGCCTCTTTGGTTGTATCCTCCACTTTGTTGTGCTGTGGCATGCCGCGTTCAGTTTGTAACGATCTGATCGTGACTCATTCGGCGTGTTTCCTACAAGATGGGAAATAAACCCAATAATATCTTAGGTGACTGCGACATGGTTAGTCTCCCTCCTGAGACAAAACCGCGCTGGGTGGCCGGTGCTACGCGTACTGTTCTCTGATTGGAAAACCCGCTCAGCTTTTTAGATTCTGCGAAATCCTCCTGTTTCTGTTTGCCTTAAGGACCGCTTGCTACATTTGTAGTACGTCCATTCGTAGCGCAAAACAGTGTTGGGGCTTTGGCTACCAGATGAATCTAAAAATAATACATAGTTGTCCCTCATCTACCTATTACCTTTTTATACGCCGTAAAGGATGAAAA